TTTTTAACCCCAAAAATTATCTTTTTTTTTTTTTTTTTTTTTTTTTTTTTTTTTTTTTTTTTTGCAACTGCTTTGCCATTATCAAAGTTTGCTGGACTATGCCCTAGTCTGTATGTACCTAAAAGATGACGCTTTCATTCTAAAGTGCAGTTATTCTTAGTGCTCATGTCCATGAAATGTACTCTTTTATTGCTTCCAGTGTCTCGAGTCTGCGCCACACACCTCCTCTCTTTCTGCAGCCGCATCAGTAGCAGCTATTTGCTGCTCTGTCCTATTAAAGAATGACTCTTTCACCATGTCTTGCACTCGCCGTCTGTCACAATCCTTCTCTTTCATTGTCTGTTTGCTTCTCTCCATTGCCCATGCAGCATCACTCTTTGTCCTTTTGGCAAGAAACTACTCTGTCTTCTCCCTCTGCCGCCTCCTTTCCACTGGCAATAACAGCTTATCTCTCCCCCTCCCCTCTCTACAACCCCCTTCCCTGTCCTCCCTCTTCTCTATCTTGCAGGGTACATCAGATCCTCAGTGCGTTGTCTGGAACTATGGCAACACGTAAGTTGTTTGAATGAACGGTGCTGCAGATATACGAGATGTCTTGTCAGTAGGTTTTGCTGATATGTGTGTGTGCAGTCTCATGTCCAGTCATGCATCATTTAATAGTAAACAAGACACCCTCACTGGTACAGCTAATTAAATTACAAGAAAAAAGAAAACACTTTTCCCTTTTTGCTGCCAGGAGTTCAAAGGTAGCACCACTTTTTAGTCTCGTCTTCTTTTTCAGTGTTTACCTTTTCCCACAACGGTTTAATTTGCAGGTCTTTATTCATTCTCTGAGTGTTGCTTTAATTCGAGCAGCCAACTTGTTTTCAATCACTTTCCTGAAGTGCTAGTATGTTCCTAATGGCTTTTCTCCTAATTATCTAAGTAGGACACAGACAGTTTGATTTCGTTTGCTTTGAATAGTGGACCCGTGCAAGCGAACGACATAATGCAAACCAGCACAATTGATCAGGCTGTTATCACCATTAACCCACATTGTGGCCGTCCAGTTTGTCATTGACAGGAAATAAACTTGTTCGGAAACATTTGACAAGGCTTTGGTTCCAAGAATAGGCTTAGCTCAGGTGGAGTACACGGGGAGTACATTAGCTAAGTTGCTATTTTTGCCTAACATGGCATCTTGAGCCTACTCTGTAAAGAACTGGTGATCTGTACAGGGTGTGCTCCGCTTGCCTATTGACTACCGAAGAGAAGCACTTGCCTCCATTGCAACCCTGGAAAAAGGTTTGTGTAGAAACTAGGCTAGAAAAACTCCACTATGCTACTGAGTGAAAATATAAAAGAATGATGATTGACCTCGAAGCAAGGTGAGACGAGTTTACTTGGGAGAAATTGTGACCAGGAATTGATCAGCTGCTGACAAACACACTGCATTGATTGACAGGTGGCATCATGTGTCCTTGTTACTGTTTAAAGTTTAACTGAACGTAAAAAGTGCATTTATGAGCAGTAGCATGTTGTTTTACTTTTCTGTATTATTAAATTTTGATGCATTGAGTAGCTTTGGTATTCAAGTTTATGTTTTACAGAGCAGTGAAATGTTTACCACTGGGGGGAAAAAAAAAAAGTTAAATTAAATCTGCATATTAAATTAACAAATACGCAATTAAGTCCACAATTATTATTTCTCCTGGCATATTCATACTTCAAACAGTATTTTAACTTGAACATGTGTTTTCATAGCCGGATGTAATATCTGCAATTAAAATGAGTAACTAATTGCTGCAATGCCAATTAAAATGTTTCCACTGATAATGAGGAAGAAAAATATCTTTGCCAAGATGAACATTTTTATTGTAAAAAAAAAAAAACACATTGTTTTCTTGAATGATAGCCAATCCCATCTACGATGAACTTCTTGCATGAATTACGATAACTTTAAATTATCTATCAGGGTTATGAAATAGTGTTTCACTGTAGCTCCGTCTAGAGTGCATTGGTCATGAGGCACAGAACATTGTTTTAAGCTTTTCCTTTTTCTAAAACTATGTGATTAATGCCCCTGCAAAACAAACACACAACCATCCACCATTGAGACTGCTGTACTTTCACAAGTAGAGAAGATCCTTTTGAAACACAGACCACATTTTTAATTGTTGTAAATGTTTGGATTTTCCGACATAGCACTCTCCTAATACTTGGTAGGGATTTTGAGATTAGGATAGTTTTATATATTGGCTATTGATCAGATCAGCTAATGAGAACGTTTTGGCTTTAACTAACTAGTGGCTAGCTTTACTCCATTTTTTATTTTAGATTTTAAGTGTCTCTATGGCATAGCTATTTGTCTTTTTCTCTTGTTTCCTATTAAATTAAGTATTCCTGAATGATATTAGGTTTCCTTTTTTTTTTTTTTACTTTGAAGCAGCTTTATTTGGATCATCAACACATTGGTGTAGCACTGGTTCCTTTTGTTTTACTCCTATATAACAAGATTTTATGAAATTCTTTGTGTAGATTTACAGGAAAGGCACTGTAAAAAAAACAACAACATAATCCTGCATGCATTGTAGCACTATAATTGGAAAGTTGCCATGATATCAGTGTGAACAATTCTGCTAGAAATTCTCTGACAAATCCACACTCGCGTGCGCAGGCCACACGTCATGGATGAAATACCGCTCCAGGGTCTTCCATGCTGCACCTTAGTCACACCACATTATTAACCAATAAGGCACCCACAGAGGTTTTGTGCATGCCCAGAATAATTGGCAAGCTTCATTACTCATAATGGGGAGCACAGCCCAAGACCTTCCAAAGACCCTGCTGAAACCATCCATATTCTGAGTGATTTTTTATTTATTTATTTTTTTAAATGGTGTGGTGGTGAAATAGGCCTCTGTGAAGAGGACTTAACCAGGTAAAGCCATTTTTGGTTTGTATTGGAGAAAAAGATACGTCTTCTCATTGGATCATCAGTTGAATAAGTGAGTTTTGGTGTTTTTAACAATGCAAAAAAACAAAAAAAACAAACAAAAAACAAACAAACAGCAAAGCAATTACATTAAATGCCTGATCGTGTTTTAATCCTTTAACATTGTAAGTAAAACTGACATTGGACTCTGAAAGTGACTCGGTGTTGCCATGAGCAACAGTGTTTTCTTGTAATTTGCATGCTGCTCATGTTAATTGAAAGTGGTATCATGATGAAGTTATTTTCTTCCAAAATATGCTTGTCAGTGGCAATGATGTGTTCAGGAAGATAATTCTGGGTGAAAGATTTGACAAATGATACTTTTTGAAATAGCAAATGGGTTTAATGACAACAGAATTTGTTGGAGGTGGGGGGGGGTTAGACACCGAAGGTCCTCTCTGTTTACCGTGACAACACTGACTTATGCTGGAAAAATTCTGGTCAGCTCCATCTTCTTCAGTGAGATGTTTTTTTACAGTAGTGTTCTTGCTATGGAGGAACACTCTCTTATGATGTGGGTCCACAAACACACGCGCGCGCACACACACACACACACACACACACACACACACACAATGTAAGTTCAGGTTTTTCCAGAGAGGATAAGACATTGCGACTTATCAAGCTACCCCTCTCCATCAAGGTAACAGAGGAACAATGCCAGGCAAAGTCAATTAACTAGCTTGCAGATTACAGCTGCAATCAAATTAAATGTGCAGACATGACGAGGGCAGAGAGCCAAACGGAGTATAAAGTGGCAACAAGGCAGTGATGTCTATCCACATATCACAGCTGGAGGCATGGGGGAAAAGAGCCAAACGTAAGCTTGACAGAATTGATAGGGCCGAGCACACAAACTAAATCCAAGCTGACTTTATGCGAGTGGATTTCTCCTTCGTCCTGTCACCTTTTCAAGAATTTTTAGCAAAACCTCGTCACACCGTACTATTTGGATACGAGAGCTCGTTACATGCGAATGCGGTGAAATGAGACTTTGCGAAGGGGCACAAATACTCTATGTGTCCTCCGCCGGTGTTTCCTTTTTTTTTTTTTTTTTTCTGTGTCGGGCAGGAGATCTTGTCTGGAGCTTGGCGTGAGGCGCAAAGTTGATGCAGACAGAGAACACGTTGTACAAAGCAGCCGTTTGTTTGCTGGAAGATATCACTGCTCTCAGCTTGGCTGCCTTTCTGACTGAGCCAAGGGCTTTGAGGTTGAGCAGGAGGCAGACAAGAGGTGGAGAATGCACAGATAGCAGTACAGGGGGAGGGCAAACATGGCAGCATCTCAACCAAACCACTGCACAAAAAAAAAAAAAAAAAAAAGCACTGCTCAAAGAAAAAGGAAAACCTTTACCATTTTATGACTTCTGCGTGGAGACTATTCACAGTTCGGTAAATTAGAATATCACTGAAAAGTTAATTTATTTCAGTAATTTAATTCAAAAGGGGAATCTCGTATAGATTCATTACACATGAAGTGATATATGTTAAGTCTTCTGTTAATTTTGATGATTATGGCTTGACCATAATGAAAACCTAAAATCGAGTTCCTCAGAAAATTACAATCTTACCCGTTGCCAATAAAAATGAATTTTTCATACAAAGCTTTTTATTTTTTATTTTATTTTTTACCATGCTATGTCCTATACGCTCAAGACGAAAACTGCTGACTTGACAGTTGTCCAGTAGACAGTCACTGACACTCTCCATTAGGAGGTTACATTAAAGAAGACAATTGCATAAAAAGTTGCTGTTCGCAGAGTGCTGAACCCAGGCGTATTAAAAGAAAGTTAAGTGAAGGAAAAAGGTGCATATTCAAAAAGGTAAAACACAGAATTGGGAGTCGTGATGGTCCAGCTCTTGTCAAAAAGTCAGCTTGTTCGGCTCAGTGCTCTTAGGCTCCAAAATGGCTCTTTGTTTAGTACCACTACAAGCTTTCAAATCTAAAACTTGGCTATTATCCATTGTTTTTGTGTGTGTGTTTTTTTTTCAGCATTTCATTGGTTTTTATTTTGCTTTACTCTCATTACTAAACCACAGCACAGCGACCATTTCTTAATATTTTATTGAAGGCTTTCAGTTTGAAACCCTGTAACTGCCTCTGTTCCTCTGCACCTTCCCTGTACCTCTACACTTGCTGCCTTACAAGAACCCTTTTCCTCTTTTCACATAATGGTGTGGTTTTAGTTTGTCTTTGCATGGTGTGCCTATAAATATAAAGCACTACCATTGCCTACACGGATTCTGAACTAGATGAGCGCCAGCAGCTGAGATTCAGCTCTCCTCCCAACCCCTCCCACCCCCAGACCCCCACTGGGATTTTGCTCTTCTTATTCCCCCCACAAAAAGTCAGGTTTTAGAGTCAGTACATTCGTGAACAACACATCACTACTTGAGAGGACGGAAGAGCAAAGTTCATTCAGGAATTTGTGGGAGATTCACAGACTGTGAATTGCAGCAGAAGTCGTGAGCGATTCAAGAATCACCACATCTATCCAGAGCAATATGACAACAAAGAATGTCAGATTTCTCATGTTGGATTACTAGAAAACCAAGTACTATATTTAAAAATAAAATAA